TATCTTTTCCTTTTTGGTTCTTCTGCACAACACAGTGTGATGTGGGAGGGGAAAGAAGAGCCATGTGGTAAATAGAGAACACTAGTTCTCAACAAGTCAGGCTGAAAGAAGTCAGTGCTGGATATTATTGTAGCACATTTTTGTCTCCTTGTAGAATTACCAGGGAAACATCAAGAATAACTGCAAAAGAAATGTTTTGCCACATAAGAATTCAGCTCACATTCAAACACCAGCAGCTTCTAGATTCCTCTTCTCCTGTTCTCTTTTACTAATGCCAAAAATATTAGAATCAAGTTAAGATCCCTAGATTGTAAATCAAACATGAGGTTTGGCTGTAGAAGAGAAATCTTATTTAAACATTAGCAGTTCAGTAGTAGCTCTGCCAGCTTTATTAATCTTATTTCACTTGTGACCTTAGCCTTTCCATCTGAGTAAATCTTTATGAAATGCAGTCACCCCCAGTTGCTTTTCTTTTGCAGTGATGGAAATTTTGTTTTCAAGGGAAAAATGCTAAAAACTTATGACTTAGTTTCTTGTAAATCCATCTATGACCCAGTGAATAATAATCACATGTATGGGTTTGTTTGTTTTAACTATAAGATTTTAGGTGTATTTTTTTAAACTGTGCTTCTGGTTTAAAAAGGAAAAGGTAGTAAAAGGTGGTAGACATTAATCTTCATTCCTGATAATCAGGGTGGGGGATGATGCACTGTTTGCTTTTCTGCATTTATAATGGCTTAATCAGGACAATTTGTTTATTTTTTAAAAAATGGAAGAGAAAAGGTTTGCATACTCTTGAATTAATTTTTCAATGTGAGAGATAAAAATACAATAAATGTAATGCAAAAAGGTGCAATTTAATATTAAATTTTTGGAGTTTAAGACTCCAGTTAAATTTTAAAAAGAACCACTGAAATTAGCTAGGAAGACCCATCTCTTGGTTGTCAGTGTTTAATCTGTAATTAACAAATAGTTTTTATAATGTAATATGCAGAATCAAACCTGCCTAGAATATATAGTTTTCAGTATAAAAGGAGGAAATAAGAATGCAATGATTGGGTATATTTTAAAAACTGAATGTCTAAAGTACTAAAAGTAAAGAGAGCCTCTTTCAAAGGCTAGTTTAGTATCTCTAGATGTTTTCTAAAATAAGTAATGCCTTACATATTGTAGTAGTTTTGAACTGCTGTAGCTATGATGGCCCAAAATGTACAAGAGGCAAAGTGTTCTTTTGTTTGCTCAGGGATTTTGGAGTAGGGGTTGGAGGGGGTTGGGTTTTTTCAGGGTTTTAGTTTTGTGGAGTTTCTTGGGTTTTTTTGTTTCTTTTTGGATATCTTATATTGGATCAACTGTATAATTGAGAGAGATGCTGGGCAAGCCTTTAGGTGCAAAATGATCTTCAGGTCAGACCTGAAGAAGGGCACTTTGTACAAGAAAGTTTGTTCAGCATTTTTCCCAACTACACAGTTGGCCCAGTATAAGGTATTGCCAAAAAATGCCCCCAAAAAACAAAACAAAGCCTTGCCTCTCATAGATTTATAGATGTAGAGTTGGAAGGGACCTAAGTAGATCTTCAAGTCTGATGCCCTGCCCTGGGCAGAAGAGAGAACTGGGCTTATATGACCCCAGCTAGGTAATTATCAAGCCCCCTCTTAAAGACCCCCAAGGTAGGAGCAAGCACCACTTCCCTTGGAAGTTGGTTCCAGATCCTAGCCGCCCTGACTGTGAAGTAGTGCTTTCTAATGTCCAGCCTGAACCTACTCTCAAACAACTTATGGCCTTTATTTCTTGTTACTCTGGGAGGTGCTTGGGGGAACAGGGACTCTCCCATTCCCCACTGGTCCCCCCTGGTAAGTTTATAGATGGCTACCAGGTCCCCTCTCACCCTTCTCTTGTGGAGGCTGAACAGGTTCAGGTCCCATAGCCTCTCCTCATAGGGTCTGCCCTGCTGTCCCTGGATCATGCGAATGGCCCTCGTCTGGACCCTCTTGATGCTGACTACCTCCCTCCTAAAGTGCGGCGCCCAGAACTGGACACAGTACTCCAGCTGAGGCCTGGCCAGTGTCGCATAGAGGGGGAGGATCACCTCCTTGGCCCTGCTTGTGTTGCATCTGTGGATGCACGACAAGGTGCGGTTAGTCTTACTGACTGTGTCCTCACATTGGTGACCCGTGTTCATTTTGGAATTGATAATGACTCCAAGATCATAATGCCTTACAATAATTTTGTTGATTAGAAACAGTGATTCATCTAGATGGCCCTATAGAACAGTATTGTTGAGGAGTTTAAAAGATTAGATTATACTTAAATCAACATTGCTGTCTGGACTTTTTCAGCTGTATGCTGAGAATTGATATGCTGTTCTAACATAATGTCAAGATCACCCTTCTTTGCTTGAAAGTTGGCCATTAAAAGTAGAGTACGGTTTAATCAGTGGATTGGAACATATTCCTAGACTTCATTTCCATAAAGCTTAGAGGTCCCTTCTCCAAAGATGGACCAGAATGGGAACAAGTGGATAGGCACTGTGGAATTGTGATGTGCTCAGCCACAGCCAATCTCAGTTAAATTTTGTGTGAGCAGATTCAAGCCTAAATGGCAGAAATATTTTATTCTGAGCTATCTGAATTAGAACTGCCAGGTAGATCAACAAAGATTTCCAGTACATCCAGCTCACCTTTGCTGAGCACTAGATTTATGGCCTTCCTAGAAACTAATGCTAGCACATTTGGTGTATCCTGGCTACAACTGCTACTGAAGATGAAGCAGATTTTATTGCCTTAACTCACAGACTAGGGGAAAATGGGTCATCTCAAAAAGAACTGAAAGTGTATGTGGCCATTTCTGTATAATTTTACTTCACATGTCTCAGGCAGCAGTTGGCTATCTGTAAATGCAAAAAAACCTTTGTATCTGCTTATGCAGATACAAATTGGAGGAATTCTTTATAATTTGTGTAAGCTCAGCCACACGGTTTTAAATAGATTAATCTTTTATACTGGGTGATTTGTGAATTAATTCTTTGTGTCAAAAATAAAAATGTACACAATGCTGAACTGAAGTATCATATTTTTAGTAAGGTGACCAAGGAGTCCTTTCTAATAAGGCCAACAGTTACCACATCTAGAGTGCAGCAGATCAAGACTGAGAGGTATTGGCAGAATTCCATAAATATTAGGGCTGATCAAAAAACGTCATCTGTTTTTGACAAAAATTGATTTTTTTTTCATTAATTAAATTCCTTGTTAATACTGTCAGTAATTCATTTCAAAACTGAACCCCTGGAAGAAAAATCCAGACTGTCTGGCCAGCATCCAAAATAGGATAATAAAATCGTAGGAAAGTAGGGCTGGAAGAGACCTTGTGAGGTCATCTAGTCCAGCCCTCTGCTCATGCCCATGATTAAACCATCCTAATGAAGTGTCTTTGTGACCTGGTCCTAAACATTTCCAAGGATGGAGATTCCACATTTTCTATAGGTAGCCTGTTCCATTGCTTGATCGCCCTCATAGTCAGAAAGATCCTCCTAATTTCCATCCTAAATTTCCTGTGCTGCAGCTTGAGGCCATAGTTCCTAGTCCTGTCCCATATGGCCACAGAGTGAAGCTCATTTCCATCCCCTCTATAATTGCCCTTGAGCTCTTCTTCAGACATATTTCTGTTTTGAAATGCTGCTCTGTCTCATGTCAGTTGTAATTCTGGTAGCCTGGGTTCCCATTCCATTTTTGTGGGTCAGACTCCCTGTTTTGGACTTTTTCCTACAATGCATCACAAGCCTACAGCTACCATGATGCCTGAGCTTCCATCACCAGGCGCACAGTTATGATGCATTGTAGGAAATAAATTCTGATTGGGAGTCTGTCCTACAGAAGATAAAAGAATTGTTAGGCACCCAAGCCTGCAACTCCCAACAGGCATACTCCAAAATATTTTGGATGAATACTTAGTTTCTTGTACAAAGGAGCATACTTCAATTTTTATAAGATATTACCCATACTGTGACTGAATCTATCCAGCTTAAGAATGTTATTCAGAGGGGAAGAAAAATAGCGTGAACACAGATACTGTGTGACAGAGTTTATTTCTTATAGACAGTTTGTTAGGAACCGGAACAGAGTAGAAAAAAAGAGTTAGAACTGCTCTGTTCTTCAGAAGAAGAAAAGTAGTTTTTGAAATTACTACAAAAATAAGAGTTACCTGGCTCACTGAAAATTGGTAGCTAGCCATGTTAGTCTGAAGTTAGGCAGAACTAACTAAACTGGAGATGCATCAGCTTTCCTAAGCAACAGATTACTTCAGAAGTATCCTGTCTTCTCAGTGAAGTTTACCATAGTACAATGAGAGCTGTGGTGGCATAGGCACTAGAGCACAAAGTTGATAGCCCAGAGGTTTCATGAGGCCATAGCAAAAGCACTCACAGTGCCACCCTGTCAGATTCCAACAAATCTGCAAATTCTGCTAAGTACCTTGTTGCATAAGGACACAAAAAAGGAAAGGAAAGGACTATAGTTCACTGGTAACAATAGTTGATTGTGTTGACAAGTACTGTCATACTGGATGGTTGGAACTTTAGTGTCTCTTCCCAGCTCTGCTTGTGACTTTCTTTGTGGGTTTGGGCCTTGCCCACTTTCCACCGCAGATCTCCCACCTATGAAAAAGGAAAATCAGCTTACCCACCTTAGCAAACTGCCTTTTGATGAATGAATGAAATGTGCTAGAGAACTACTAAATATTACCATTTTTTGAACTGGAAAAAGCTGATGGATTTCGGGAGATGTAACTCTTAATTGTGGACAAGAACAAATTGTTTGCTACACCAAATACCAGTGTGTTAGAATGTATTCATATGTGTGAATATCATTTGGTAGTATTAGCTAGTCCTTTCCTTCACATTTTTAAAATAAAATAAGAGTGAAATAGCCGTGTTATCTCATAAAACATGGATGAAATTCATTTTATGATAAGTGTGTGATCTCTGTGGTTTGTTTTTTTGCCTGTAGGCTTTCATGCAGCCGCACTTGCTGGGAAATGAGTTCACACATTTGGAGTTTCCAAGGAGGGTGCAGCGTAAAGAAATCGGAAAGAGGATGCTCTACAGGGACTTTAACATGACTGGCTGGTAAGAACATGCCCCTTCTCAGTGCTGAAAGTCAAAAACCTGAAATCCTACCGTGTATGCATTTGTTTATTAGAATACCCGTCTACATTAAAGCAGATGTGTTCATGCATTGTGAGAGAGAAAATGTCATTCTCTCTTTCTTTGTTTTTTTTTTTAAGAGACTAAATTAGATTTTTTCTCTTGAGCTATGGCCAGAGCCTATCCACAAAGTTTGAGAACTGCGATTGCAACAAGACTGTCAAAGGACAGTCATTGAAGGTGAACCTCTGTGAAAGCTGCTTATTTTTCATAAATTACAAGTCATTTTCCTTTACACACATTGTAGTATCTGGCTAATAGAAGATGGTTCTTTTTCTTTAATGTGCATAAAAACTTGCAATAAGGAAAAAATTGGTTCCTCTATTCCAGCACAGCAGAGATGACCTCTGAATGGATAATCCTTGTAGACATTTTTAACTGCAGACCATACTTCTGAACAAAAAGAGTAGCCAACTTAAAATGAGAAGATTTGAATGAACAGAAGTCACCGCAATTGCTTAATGCAATAAAGATAGGAGGATGAACAAACCTGAATCTGTGGCAAAATTGTCTAGTTTTCATGTCTGTTCAGAGAGTCCCTTTAAATGGGAAACTTAGACTAAGGAAAGTCTGCTCTGTACAGTCGCATGCTCTTTATGTGATTTTTGTAAATGAAAAGAACATTTTACTTCCCTGTGCTGCGCTTGTCTTAACAATCATTACAATAGTTCGGCCAGCAATGGAAAGGGCAGACAGGGTCCAAAAACTGAAGCTCTGGTATATTTAGAGCAGTGGTTCTCAACTTCACTGGACTTAAAGCACCCTTTGCTAGGTTCAAGGCATCCCTCAGTAAGGCACCCCTCCGTAACTTTTATGAATTGAGTGGTACTCAGTTTCACAAACTAACTTATAGATTACAGTTCTTTCTTGCAGAGGGGTCTGGCTGTGGGGATGGGAGGTCATCCAGGCAGGGACAAGCCTGAGCCTGCGCTTAACTGCTTAGTTTATCAGCTTATTTCCTAACACCTCAATTCCTCATACCTCATGGCACCCTTCAAAAGATCTGGCAGCACCTTGGTTGAGAATCACTGGTTTAGAGACTTGAACAGGCTGACATCATAAATGATATGCCTACAACTCTTCCTGGTATAATGTCTCATAATTAGTTAGTACTTCACTGCTAAAAGTGTCGTGTTGTTTTAATAGTCAAAGCAATTGCCAAATTCTGTTAAAAGAATATGCATAACATAATATGCAGACTGAGTTAAGCTAAGAATTGCCATCACTGGCCATCATCACTGAACAATGTTCTTGTCATAGTATCATAGAGAACAGAAGTAGGGCTGGAAGGGACCTCCAGAGGTCATCTAGTTCAGTCCCTGCCTGAGGCAGTATACAACCACTCCTTTAAAATAGCTGTTGCATCAGAGGATTGGAGGGTAGCAGTAAGTAAAAAAAAAAAAATGTGAGTATGATCTGGGGAATTACACGTAGTAAAAAACTTGTACCTTATATAAACTGAACTGAAATTAGAAATACAATGTTAGAGGACCTGGACAAACAAGAGATGATAGGGTAGGTGTGGGCAAAATATGACCCATGAGTTGGATCCAGCCAGCCAACTGATTGAATCTGACCCACAGAGGCTGCCCGCCAATTGGTTGGATCTGGCCCATGGCTGCCCCTGTGACACTCCACATACGGCTGAGCCCTACTAGGGGACAGCTAGCACTGCGCTTCTGCCTGTGCCTGCTGGCTTTAGTCCAGGCCAGCATGCAAAGCCCTTGGCAGGGCTGCTCCCAGTGTGGCTGTAGCTGCCCGGGTGCTGATCAGCTCTTCTCACCTCTAGCAGCGGCTCCTCCTTCTGCTCCTGCTCCTGCTTCTGATGCACCACTCCAGGCAGGGATAAAGCTTCAGCTGGGCAACTCCTGCCCCAGTGAGCGGGGTTCTGGCTTCAGCTTCTGGCTTCATTCCAGCCAGGGCTTTGTTGAGCCAGGCCTTAAAAACCTCCAAGGATGGAAATTCCACCACCTCTCTAGGTAACCTGTTCCAGTGCTTCACCACAGTCCTAGTGGGGACAGTATTTCCTGATATCCAACCTAAATTTCCCTTGCTGCAACTTGAGACCAGCTGTATCCTCCTTGGAACCACCCTTCAGGTAGTTAAAAGCTGCTATCAAATCCTCCCTCAGTCTTTTCATCTCTACGTTAATAAGACTGGTTTCCTCAGCCTGTCCTCATAAGTCATGCCCCAACCCCTTCACCATTTTTATTGCCATCCTCTGGACTCTCTCCACCTTGTCCACATCCTTTCTGTAGTGGAGGGCCTAAAATTGGACACACTACTCCCGATGTGGCCTCACTAAGTGCAGAATAGAGAGGAATTATTACATCCCTTGATCTGCTTGCAGCAGTCCTACTAATGTAGCTCAGTATGCTGTTAGTCTTTTTGGCATCAAGGGCATGCTGCTGACTCGTACGTAGCTTATGGTCCACTGTAACCCCCAGGTCCTTTTCTGCAGAGCTGCTGCCCAACTAGTCAGCCCCCAGCCTTTACTGGTACTTGGGATTGTTCCGTCCTAAGTGCAGGACTTTACACTTGTCCTTGTTGAACCTCATATGATTTCTTTTGGCCCAATCTTCCAATTTGTGTAGGTCACTGAATCCTAGCCCTACTCTCCAGCATATCTACTACTCCCCCCAACTTGTTGGCACCTGAGAACTTGCTGAGCGTGAACTCCGTCCTATCTTCCAGATCATTAATGAAGATATTGAACAAAACCAGCCCCAGGACTGACCCCTGGGGCAGTCCACTTGATACTAGCTGCCAACTAGACATGGAGCCATTGATTACTACCTTGTTGAGCCCAATGATCCAGCTAGCTTGCTATTCGTGTTACAGTCCATTCATCCAATCCATACTTCCTTAACTTGCTTGCAAGAATGCTGTGGGAGACTGTATCAAAAGCCTTGCTGACATCAAGGTATACCATGCCCACTGCTTTCTCTGCATCCAGAGAGCCAGTCATCTCATCGTAAAAAGTAATCAGGTTGGTGAGGTGTGACTTGCCCTTGGTAAATCCATGCTGGCTATTCCTGATCACTTTCTTCTGCTCCAGGTGCTTAGAAATGGATTCCTTGAGGACCTGCTCCATGGTTTTCTGGGGACTGAGGTGAGGCTAACTGGATTGTAGTTCCCTGGATCCTCCTTCTTTTTTTTAAAAATGGGCACTATATTTGCCCTTTTCCAGTTATCCAGGACCTACCCTGATTGCATGAGTTTTCTAAGGTAATGGCCAGCAGCTCTCCAGTCACATCAGCCAAGTCCCTCAGCACCCTCGGTTGCATTGCATCCAGCCCCATGGACTTGTATGTGTCCTTTTCTATAGAATCCCTGACCTATTCTTTTACCACTGAGGTCTGCTCACCTTCTCCTGAAACTGTGCGGCCCAGTGCAGTGGTTTGGAAGCTGACCAAAGTAAAAAGGCATTGAGTACTTCAGCCTTTCTCCTCATCATCTGTCACTTAAGTTGCCTCCCCAATTCAGTAAGGAACCCATACTTTCTCTGACCTTCCTCTTGTTGTTAACATACTTGTAGAAACCCTTCTTTTTATTCTTCACGTTCTTTGCTAGCTGCAACTCCAGTTGCTCTTTGGCCTTCCTGATTTCATCCCTGCATGCCCAAGCAATATTCCTGTGCTTCTCTCTAGTCATCTGTCCAAGCTTTTACATCTTAAACTTCCTTTTCTGTGTTTAAACTCACCAAAGAGTTCTCCCCTAAGCCAAGCTAGTTGCCTGCCATATTTGCTATTTTTCGTGCGCACTGGAATGGTTTGTAGTTGCATAGTAGTCGCCCTATGTCTCTAAAAAGGGATATTGCAAAATTACTGGGGTTCAGGGATGTAGATATAAAGAATGATCAGAGATCTAGAAAAGGTCACACAGAGAGGTTGGGGAAAGCTACATTTCTACCTTAAAAAGGAAAGGAAGGAGTCAAAGAAAAGGGAACATGATAAAAATGTGTTCAATAAAAATGCTATAGAGAAGGTAAATGGGGAAACAGAGGAACAAGGTGACCTCCAGTGAAATTAAAAGGTGACAAGGTCAAGCCCAATGAAAGGAAATGCTTTTTCAAACCACATGTGATAGCACTGTGGAACTCATCATAGGATGTTGCTAAGGCCAGAAATTGAGCAACTTCAAAAAGTTATTCATCAATCATATTGGTAAGAAATATATCCAAAATTATAAATGCTAAGAAACTTTGGAAGAAAGAGGAATTTTATCATGCTTCTAGGCTTAAGACTGTTTCTAATTACAAGGGATTAAGAGGTTTTATGCATCTTTCTCTGGTCACTTAGAAATAGGATACTGGCCTTGAAGTCTGATCCAATACATTCCCGTTAGCATTGTACTTGCACTCTGTGAATTCTTACGTCATCATTTTTTATGTTCTATTTGTCTAAAGCTATGTTCACACTCAAAATTTTACTTCCATTTTAGCATATATTAACCAATATACATACTAATATAGTCTAACGAAAGATGTTTGGTGAAACATGACTAGCTACCTATGTATGTGTCCTGGAACAAACGACAGTTAATGTTTACACTACAGACTGCAATCCTGTTAGTCGTGGTTTAAAATTCACTAACTTAAAATTCAACCCCAAATATACCTGTATGAACTGAGCTGAGCCAGAGAAGAAAGGTAAGAGTCGCAGAAATATATGTGGATGAAGATGCTAACCTCTTCCTACCTTTACTGTGATATTTATGTGAGCAAAATGTGTCTAGTTGTCGTTACTCGGGAAGCTAGATGCTGGTAGCCAGCTGCTTAGTTGATCTCAGGAGCTGGCATGTCAGCATTCTTTTTTGTTCCTTGACCTCAGGGCTGAGGACTGTGAAACAAAGAAAGCACTTCTATGTTCCTGTGAAGTTTACCTAGTCAGGGTCAATGGAGACAAGAAATGCTATTTCAG